CTAAATTAAATATCTGTTAAATATTGGCGCAGTATGTATGATGTTCCTAATACTGCCGGTTTTTGTAGTTCTGTTGGTGTGATTTATTATTATTTTTAGTAGTAGCAGCAGTATTCACAGTTAGTAAGGGAATCTCTATATATAGACACAGCCAGTATTTTTAGAAGATGCTGTAGCTCAGAATGACTCAACAGCATGTGCTCTACAGCCTTCCCTACAACTCTTGAGCAAATTTGCTTCCTTCAGGTGTGATGAAGGACATCAATGGTGCAGAAGAAAGATTTAGCTGCCAGTCCTCATACTACCCCATGGTATAGGGATGGGAGCCATTTTGTTTTTTTACCTCAAGCCTCCAAATGCTCCAGGTTGACCCTGTTTCAAGGCAGCTCACTCTTCACCATGATGTTATTTGTTTCTGCGTAGGAACACAAGCTTATAACTAAAAGTCAAAGCCAGATGTTTTCAGTCAAGCGCCATGTTCCTTCCTGTGTTTGGAGATACTCTTGTCATTTTCAGTACCCAAACAAGCGAAACACTACCAAAAAAAATAAAATAAAAAGCCAGCCAATGGGCTGACAAAAAAACTCTAGCCAGTAATAAACACCTAAGGCAAAATGTCTTCCTCCTTCTCTGCATTTGATCTTTCTCTTCTCTCATCCTCTTTCTTCCCTCTCCACAGCTGAGGCCGACACCTGCGCCAGGGAGTGGCTTCAAAACCAGGGCAACTGCTATGCGTATTTCGATCAACCGCTGTCATGGCAAGAGGCTGAGGTAAGAAGCCTTTTCTAGCATCCTATCTTCGATGCAATGCATGAGGCACAGATGAGCTACAGGAAACTAGGAGCAGAGAAATAAACGTAATGAAGTGGATGGAACAGGGATTACCTCAATTAACAGAACTTGATCTGAAATGAATTGGAAATTCTTAATGATATCCTTCAAACCCAACTTTCCTTCCTAACCCTTCCTCTAATTCTTTTTTTCAGCCTCCCAGATAAAAATGTTTTCCCATTGCAGCTAGTATGGGTATATTAATTAAGATATTTTAAAAGGTCTTGATTTTAATTATATTTTACAATTAAAATTCAGTTTTATTCCATTTTAATATATGTAACTTAATTGTATTTTGACTCAATTGTTTGTTGTTTCATTATATGGCAAGCCGCCTTGGGTCTTAGCTCCTGGGGGAAAGGCAGCATATAACTACTCTAAATGTAAATAAATGTGCATAAATAACTACACTTGATCGGAGAGTTATAGCAAAACCCACTTTCTAAATATTTTAAGCTCTGAACACAACAGGCCTGGGTATAACATGATCTTACAATGCAGCAGCAAGACCCAGATTTTGGAAAGTACCAATTCAGCACCAACACTGTTCTCTCCGTAAGAGAATTCTAATATTCCTCTTGTTTTGCTCATTTTCAGATTGAGTGCCAGAGCTACGGGCGAGGAGCCCACCTTGCCTCTGTCCTTACAAAGGCAGAGACGCTTCTGGTGGCTGAACACATCTCCACTTACCAGCAACAACCAAGTAATGTCTGGATTGGGCTCCATGATGTCCGTCAGGTGAGCCTCTTTCCCTTCCTCCACTCCAGCTAATCATCTGGAGATCTGGCCTTCATTCCATCATCCCTCCGGCTCTACTCAAGTGTTATGAATCCATGTACATGCCTGACAGGTAGAGGGGAGTGCCCCAAATCTCATTTACTTCTGTCTCCAGTTTCATCACCTTCCTGTGGATGTAGAGTAATGGGTCTGAAGAGAGTTCCACTGTCCTTTAGGGCAGTGGTCTCCAACCTTGGGCCTCCAGATCTTCTTGGACTTCACCTCCCAGAAATCTTGGCCGGCAAAGGTGGTGGTGAAGGCATCTGGGAGTTGTAGGCCAAGAACATCTGGAGGCCCAAGGTTGGGGACCACTGCTTTAGGGGCTTCCATGGGAGTCAGGAAACCTGGAGATCCAGGTCTTGATTCACAGCAGGGAGTGTCCACATATAGTGGAGAATGAGTAGAAGGATAACAGAACCAGAAATGAAGGTATGCAGCCAAGTTGCTCCATTCTATTTATGACTTGAGTATAAACAAATTCGTAACACCCAGATTAACCCTGAAATCTCGCATACTTCACCCTTGTTCTCCACAAGCGTCAACCGATCCTTCTCTGCTACAAGCAGTTACAACTCCCCACTCACCAACCTCTCCAGCTAGTTTTTCCCTTAACGGGACAATTTATTTTGTCTCCCTTCCACAGACCAGAGAGAATAAATAAAAATTCATAAAAAAAGAAATCAACCTTGAAATCCCACATGCTTTGCCCTCGTTTTCCACAAGAGTCAACCAGCCCCTCACTGCCACGATTAATCCCAACTCCCCATGCACCAGTTTCTCCAGTTAGACTTTTTCATAACATATTTATCTTTTTCATATTTATCTTCCGCAGACCAGGAAATGGAGATGGGCTGATGAGTCCACCTACAATTACAAGGCCTGGATGAACGGTCAGCCAGACAACTACCGTCAGAATGAGCACTGTGTGGAGCTGCGGTTTTCTACAGGTGAGCAGTCCTGGAGGCTGAGGAACGGCAGCATCTCAGGGGCACGTGATTGTCCCCAACATCCTAACTTTCCACAGCTGGTTTTGGGGCAGGTTTACAAGTCAGTGGCTTCATATGTTTCTCCAGGGATCTCTACTTGATGATCTTTGGGTCCCCTTATGACCCTAATGATAAATGATAATTGTGTGCCATTAAGTCAATTCTAGGAACATGGTGGCTCTGCAAGTTAAACCGCAGAATCCTCTGTACTGCAAGGTCAGAAGACCAGCAGTCGTAAGATCGAATCCACGCGACGGAGTGAGCTTCCATCACTTGTCCCAGCTCCTGCCAACCTAGCAGTTCGAAAGCATGTAAATGCGAGTAGATAAATAGGTACCACCTCGGTGGGAAGGTAACGGCGTTCCATGTCTAGTCACACCGGCCACGTGACCACGGAAACTGTCTTCGGACAAACGCTGGCTCTACGGCTTGGAGATGGGAGTGAGCACCGCGCCCTAGAGGCGGACACGACTGGACTAAATGTCAAGGGGGACCTCTACCTAAGTCATTTCTGACTTTAGTAAATCTTTTTTTGATAGAGAGTATTCAGATAGAGAGTATTCCGTTCTTGGAGTGCCTTGGAACTGAGCCACTTTGCCAAGGCCACACAGGCAATTGGGATGTACAGTATGGAACCAAACTTCTATTCTCTGGCACCATTATCATCCAGCCAACATCTTCAGACCACAATAATCAACTCTGACTTTTTAGGATTTTCTAGCTAGAGAATACCCAGGAGTAGTTTACGTCTACCTTCTGGGGCATTCTGGGACTGTGCAGCTATGACCTAGGCTACACAAGCTGGCACTATTTATAGGAGGCATAGTGAGAAATCAAACTCCCAGCTTCTGGCTTTGCAGCTAGATACCGAAACCATTGATTCCTCCATTCTTTTAGTGCAATATTTGTATGAGAAATTAATACGCCCACATAGGGATGAATTAGGCTAGTTTTGACTGTCTTTTTGATGTGACATAAGAAAACAGCAATACGTCTGGACTACTTCTTCATTTTTTAATGTGACTCTTTACCTCTTCCATTTCCCACACTCACTTTGACAAAAAAAAGGGGGGGAAGTAATATGGCACATGTCTTTTATATTTTAGGTTTCACACAGTGGAACGATGCTGAGTGCAAGAAACGGAACGCCTACATCTGCAAGCACGAACTCTAATTGCACCCGGTGATACCTGCTGGGAGATTGGATTGGTGGACATCCCTCCCTCTAATAACATCATCTCCTCCTCCATCATGCAAAACAAAAGAGGCAGCTGTCATCTAGTCTCTCTTCAAAATAACATTTCTGAGGAGTTCTTGTGCTGTTTTTTGTGGCTGCACTTCAGGGTAATTTAATAAACACTTTCTGATGCATATATTTCCTGGTATGTTGGTCTTTGTTTCGCCCACTGGTTCCTGACAATGACAGAGACAGCTAGAGCATTATTTCGCACCATCTGCAATGGGGCAGAAGAGAGCATTTCAGCTGGAGGAGTTTCAACCAACTCTGCATAGCATACCATCTTTATGGTCCAGCTCTCCCTTCCATACATGACTACAGGAAAAAACATAGCTTTGATTATTCGGACTTTTGTTGGCAAGGTGATGGTTAAGGATAGGTTTCAGCAACTTGGGTCACTCGTGCACAGTGTCAGTTATACCCTGAAGCAGATTCACAGCCTCCCAGCAATGGAAGTCACCAGCCACCACTGCTCCAAACGATAACATCTTCCACTAGTGACCTCTCCATGTCTTCCCACTGGTTCTTCCACATTTATTCTAACAAAACAATGGGCCTGACATATCCAAAGCACCTTTAAGCAAACTAAAGAATGCCATAAAAGGGAAGGAAAAGTTGCACTGAGTCTTTGATTGGTGGCATAGCACCAGGATCCCAGCACCACCACCATCCATGAATGCACATGGTGTTCTTATCTCTAACATTGTCTCCAGTACTTTCCTTCTTTCTCACTACCATCCGTTGCCATCACCACTTTCCCTTCCACCCTCTTGACCTCTCTCAATCCTTATCACCAATCACTGCTGAAGAATCAACCATCCCAAACCACTCTTCTCCACCACAAATAAAAATTCAGGGCAAAATCCTCTTCAGTGTCCCTGTGTGCGTGTGCAATGGTCTGCTGCACACCCAGCTATCATTGGCTGGCATTTGTGCAAAGCACTATTTACTACTTGCTTCTCCAGACAGAAGACTTGTTTCTTTCAATGGGGTCTCCCTTGACTCATGCAACTATAACCTACAGATGGCATGGAGTGCAACCTCCACCGAATATTATACAGTGGTGCCTCGCGTGTCCCTGTGTGCGTGTGCAATGGTCTGCTGCACACCCAGCTATCATTGGCTGGCATTTGTGCAAAGCACTATTTACTACTTGCTTCTCCAGACAGAAGACTTGTTTCTTTCAATGGGGTCTCCCTTGACTCATGCCACTACAACCTACAGATGGCATGGAGTGCAACCTCCACAGAATATTATACAGTGGTGCCTCGCTAACGATTACCTTGTTAAATGACGCTTGACGATGAAGTTTTTGCAATCGCTTTAGCGATCACAAAATGATGTTTTAATGGTAAAAATTCTCTTGATGATCGGTTCCCTGCTTCGGGAACCGATTTTTCGCCAAACAACGATTTTGAAACAGCTGATAGGCAGCTCTAAAATGGCCGCCCGCTATGCAAAATGGCTCCCCGCTGTGTTTTCAGGACAGATTCCTCACTTTACAGGCACAGAAAATGGCCGCCCTATGGAGGATCTTCGCTGGACGCTGAGGTATTTAGCCCATTGGAACGCATTGAACCAGTTTCAATGCACTTCAATGGGCTTTTTCATTTTGCTTGATGAGGATTTCGCTTAACGGCGATTTCAACGGAACGAATTATCCTCATCAAGCAAGGCACCACTGTATTCCGTGTTTCTTCAAGAGGATTCTGTCCTATTGTATATGGCAGAGCCTACGCTCATGCAACACCTTCTCCACATAAATTAAGGAGGTGAAATGAAGAAAGTTTTTCGGGGGAGAGTGGCCATGACAAAAATCCTGTTCAGGGTTGTCTCAAGAGATGCTTTCTCTTTTCCCAGCTCGAAGGTTGGTAATAACTTGGGAAGACCAAACCTCATGAGTAATTAAACACCACCGCTGATGGAGTGCTGTCATGGAACAGATGTACAGGATGGATATTTAAATAGAAAAGGTTCTGGTTCCAGATGTGGCCAATATAAAACATGACTCTATTGCCAAAATTCTATTAAGAAAAATACACATATAGCGGCAATTATAGCAATTGCCCCCCATGACAGGCACAATCTTCTGCGACCCATTTTGCAATCAATGTGAAGACAGACACCCAAAGGGGAGCCTGCCATAGTGTGTGGGTGGGTTGGAGGACATTTATATGATCAATATTGTACTCTGCATTAGCTCAGCAGGATTGTAGCCAATAAGGATAAACTTTTCAGAAAATGGGGTGAGAGCAAGTATGCCATATGAAAAATATATTTCAAACCATGGGTATCAGTCCCTCTCTTACCACATCAGTTAAGTCAACTGTTATGACTTGTTCTCCAATGGGGAAAAACATTGGCCAGTCATAGGCATCCTTCAGTCTTGAGAGACTATGGTAACGTGCTCTGTATGGAGGAATTCGAAGCTGTATGCGAAGCTGGAGTGTCCTCTCCAGAGCACGAAGCCCGGGTAAAATAATATGGAGGATAGGCTGTTACCCAAGCATGAAATCCCCCTTCTCCACATCGCTGAAATAGTCCAATGGCAAGGCAAGAGCCAATACAACTGGTTCCAGCAACGTCGCAGGAGTTGGCAGAACGACACAAACTGCCTCTGGCACTCTGGCTCTGGATTTTGCCTCAAGGTTGACTCCTGAAGCCTTTTCCATCAGTGGATATAGCAGTGGAGATTTGAAATTGCAGTTTTCCTTCTCCTAGATGGGCTGCCTTCCAAGGCCAGTATCCTGTTCAATAATGACACACACAGCACTTCAGCTCTGGAAACTACGATGGCATTCCAATGGAGTATTAGCTGGTCATGTGCCTGTTCAAGTGACCTGAAAGGTCAGGATGTTACCAAAGTTATAGATATTTAATGATCATGGCATCACCTTCTCCACTGCCAAGGTTCTGTGAAGTCTGAAGTACGACGTAGACTCAACTTTCAACACAACCTGTTCCATGGGATCCTTCAGGATTTGACGGACAGGGGAAGAAATCTGAAGGGTGAAACAAGAAGAATTGGCCCTGATGGGAGAGGAAGGCCATGAAGAAATCTGAAGGGTGAAACAAGAAGAAGAATTGGCCCTGGTGGGAGAGGAAGGCCACGATTTGAGCTCTTCTTCAGGAACCAGAATGTCTTGGAGTACTCCTGGACTGAAGCTCAAGAAAAGGACAAATCATGTCAATTCCCATGCACAGAAAAATTCCCCAATGTCCACTTGAGCCTATGTCCTACGAATGGCGTATTCGGGATTAAGTATGCTGAGCCTCTCCCAATGTTTTAGCCTCCCACCTCCCTCCATGGTTCGGCCACCTTCCTACACATGGAAATTGACAATTTTGCAGGACAGGCTATGCTGCCCATGAGGACTCTTCTCAGGAGTTGGAACCCTGAAAAATCTATTGGCATTCTGATTCCTGGGTGGGCATTATCACTACATTCAGATGAGTTCAGGGACAAGGTACCACCTCTCCTCTGGTTTTCCAAGTCAACCCAAGGAGGCCAGACATGGAGAAGACAGTGGTGAGCAGGCATCTCCATCTCCCCTCCACACCCTGAAAGCCTGAAGTGAAATAGGTCAAATTTACAAAATACTCTTAAGGCGGAGCTATCAAAAGGTTAATATAGGCAAATACTGTCCTTGACCTGAAATATCCCTTCCTTCTCTGTCTTTTCACTCACCCTTTGGGGACAGATAGAAATGTATAAGCCTCAGAGGACTCCTTGACATCTCCTGAAGGGTTTCACAAGCCACCACACAGAACCTGAGATGGTCTAAAAGATTTTAATCAGCCTCATGCAGTTACATGAGCATGCTTGTGTCTGTAGGTTCTGATCACGCCAAAGAACAGGTGTTCTGAGGCATTCACAGCCACCGGAAAATCTGGGGAATGAAAGAGCAGAAGCCTAACAAGGGTTGCCCTACAGAGGTTGGAGACGAATCTGTTTGATTCCTGAATTTCCCCAGTTTCACACTTCTGGACCAAGACGCCTATATTTAAAAAGTTGGTTATCATGTAAAATTTACACTTCTCCAAAATTTGCTGTTTCTTTAAAAAAAGCAAGTAGCCAATTGCATATGGGTGTAGGAGTTAAGTACTTGAATCAACCCCAACTCCACAAAAAATATATAGAAATAACCACATCTGTTGAAAATGTGGTCAGATATTCAATGGGTTTCCATATAGGGGAGGAACAGAAATCAGAGCTTCCTAAGATCTTTTTTTTAACAAAAATAGAATTCTTTAGCACCTGATGGAGAGACTTTATTAGTCAAAATAACTGCTGGTCCCAATCCTGGCAGTGGCGAGCCTCAGAGAACATTAGAATCAGAAAGATGGAGGTGAGGGAGAGAAGGGAAGGTTTCTCACAGTTTAAATTAAAATTTTCCAGGGCCTGATGCAAATTGCACAGGCATAAATTTACCCTAACAGGATTTTAGCCTCTGAATTGGAATGCTCAGTAAAAGGCACATGGATGTCCAGTAAAAATTTGTGATGTGTGTGCCAGAATTAGTATACCACAATGACATGTTTCAAAAATAAAGAATAAAGCATTAATTGGATCTAATTAAGGTACCCCCATAGGGGCACAGTGGACTAGAACAACTATCTCTTCTCTTTATTCCTTCCTCATTGGATAATTCTGGACGTCCTCCTTTGTAAGGTTTGCAAGAATGAGAAAACAACTTTTGGATTAAATTGTGTGCCGATGACATGTTGAAGGGACATGGTGGCACTGTGGGTTAAACTGCAGGATCCTCTGTGCTGCAAGGTCGGAAGACCAGCAGTTATAAGATCGAATCCACATGACGGAGTGAGCCCCTGTCGCTTGTACCAGCTCCTGCCAACCTAGCAGTTTGAAAGTATATAAAAATGTTAGTAGATAAATAGGTATCCCCACGGTGGGAAGGTCACGGCGTTCCATGTCTAGTCTCGCTGGCCATGTGACCACGAAAACTGTCTACAGACAAACGCTGGCTCTATGGCTTGGAGACGGGGATGACCACCATTTCCTAGAGTCAGACACAA